TATTGTGTACACTTTCTTGTTTCAATACATTTTGTATCAACCAGGTCATATATATATATATATATATATATATATATATATATATATATATATGACCTGGTTGATACTGTCAGTCTTAACTGTATTTTGGTATCATTAAAATGAATACTTTTGATTATTATTTTTCAATTTTCTTGCATTTAACTTGATTTTTTCAGAATATTATTCCATATTTTTCTTTTTCTTCCTTCATTATTTTCTCTTAATACGTGGGTAAGTCTGCGTGAAATGGTTCCTTGTACACTAATTTTGTGTTAATTCCCAATATTACATTTTAATGGGTGCCTATCATAAATGGTAAACTGGGTGTGAAATGTTTGGCTTGACGTTTTTCCAACAAAGTATATAAATGCCACAAATATTTTAAAAAATGTAGAAATGTAAAACCGGTTAAAAAAAAAAGTTTAAAAAAAAAAAAAGAAAATGGAAGGTGTGAATTTTGGCATCCCCACACTCTTATCTGGAATGATGGCATTCTTGATCTGATATTCAAACAAGATCCCACCGGTCCTCATTGACACTGCCAGTCTTAACTGGAAGTTGATATCGTTGAAATGAACACTTTTGATTATTATTAATTTTAATTTTCTTGTATTTAACTTGATTTTTGTTGATTGTTTCTTTTATTTTTTTGCCATCCTATTTCAGAATATTATTCTATATTTTTTCTTCCTTCATTGTTTTAATTTTCTCTTAATACTTGCCTCAGCACGTGTATATATATATATATATATATATATATATATATATATATATATATATATATATGTGTGTGTGTGTGTGTGTGTGTGTGTGTGTATATATATATATATATATATATATATACTTACAGGACTTGTTAATGCAGCCCTCCTTCAACCTGTTTAATTTAGAATATGCTTACCCAGTGTTATTTATCAATGCTGAAAAATTAAGTGTTATGCCGCACGCTTTTTTAGTTGGTACTAGACATCAAAACTTATGCTAAGTCATTACTTAATATGAATTCTTTCCCAATTTTTTTTACAGGTTAACAGGAGTAGTCACCTATCGTCCCTCCGCACTCCTTTTATGTCTATTAAACAGGAGTAGAGGTTCATCCTTTATTCCCTGTTCAAAATATGGTTTACCGGTTCTCTTTCTTTCTCTTACCAAGGCCTCAATGATTTAACTGTCTTAACTCTTTGGTAATCAGTCTAACCATACTTTCTATTACGAGAGTACCAGGTTGGCAGCTTGCTGGTTGTTGTTTCCGACTGGTCGTTAGGAGCCCGTAACTTTGGTAGCGCCTTAGAGAACAAGAGTTGCATTATATCGGACTGTTATCATCCTCTGCTAATAAAGCTGAATGATTTGCCTGTAAATTCTCCTCAAACACTATTCTTGACTCACCTGGAGTATCCCTGCCTAAGTTCCCACTTACAACTGATTCTCTTTTAATTGATATGAATATAACACCTTCCATGTTTTCTATCATCTCTAACCTTGATCCCCACAAAGCATGTGGACCCAGTGGCATCTCTGTAATAGTCATTAAGAAGTGTACTCACGAATTGACTCCTGTTCTCTCTAAACTCTAGAATAAATGCCTTGCTGCCTCCTGCTTTCCTGCTTGCTGGAAATCTTCGACTGTTGTTCCAGTGTTTAAAAAACTGATTAACCGTCTGACTCATTCAACTATCGGCCTACTGCCTCAGTTTGGAAAACTGCTAGAGGCTCTAATCAATGCTGAATTAGTTCGTTATTTCTCATCACAGGTTTTCTCCACAAGCTGAAAAGCTACGGTATCTCCGGACACGTTTTTGAGCTGATCCTGTCGTTCCTATCAAATCGTAAAATGAAAAATGTCCAGAACGGCCATCGTCTACACCCTTTCTTACTAACATGAGTGTCCCCCCAGGGTTCCATCCTTAGCCCTACGCTGTTTTTAATCTTCATTAACCACCTTCCCGGTTACATCAGCTTTCAACTTGGCATCTACGCTGACAACACTACCATTTACTCCTGCCTTGATAGTAAGGCTGATCAGACAGACAAGGTCAAAATGGCAGCCGATGTACAAAACGACCTCAAGACCGTCGTTAACTGGGGAAGAAGATAACGCCTCCAAAACTAAACTGCTCTTTATTATTCATCTGAGAGACATCTCTCTCTGCCTTCCATCAGCATGGCTGATGCTATCCTCCAAAAAGTGACTCATTGCGCCTTCTCGGGATAACGTTCTCAGCAGACATGGGGTGGAAAAACTACATTGAAGCCATCGCAAGATCATCTGCTAATAAAGTCGGTTCACTGGGTCGAACGAGACAATTTTTTCTCTCTGGAATCTATCTTGCATATCTATAAGTTTACCATTCATCCATGCTTACAATATTGCTACCATATATAGTGCGGTGCACCTGCTATTTTCCTGGAGTTCCTCGATAAAATCCAAAGAATAATCAGCAATATTATTTGTCCTGATCTGGCGGCTCGACTTCAGTTACTTCCCCACCGCCGTATTTATTTTATAAATACCTTCGTGGTAATTGTTCGGATGAGCTCTTCGCTATGGTATTTAGACTGTATGAATTTAAGCGCAATACTAGGCTGACGGCGAGATCTCATCAATTAACAGTTGAGATGTAGCCGTAAATTCTATGCTGACAGTTTCTTATCCCGCACTTCTCGCTGGTGGAACTCCCTTCCGGCTCAATGTTTTCCAGCTAACTGTAATCTGCAAAAATTTAAATCGCTATTGTCAATCGCTATCTACTGTCCACCTGATTGCTCTTTTCTTTTTTCTACTCATTAATGTTTCTGCTCCTAATTCCTCCACACCCTGTAAAACCTTGCGTGCTAGTGGCTGTAATGCCTTACTTGGGGTGATACTGATTAAAATGTGTGTGTGTGTGTGTGTGTGTGTGTGTGTGTGTGTGTGTGTGTGTGTGTGTGTGTTACAGAAAAAATTATGACAAAGTGGAAAAAGTTTTCATGTGATGCGTTTCGACCTTTAGGACTTCATCAGGCTGAAATGATGTTTACGTTGATATGATTACACATACACTTGAAGGAGAGGGGAATGCTGAAATTTTAAATTGAAATTATTTTTTTACATATATATTTTGAGTATATAGTCTAGATGATTTCATTTAGTTTCTTTTTCTTTATGTTTCCATCACTTTTGTCATTAAATATCCCACATTCTGATAATAAAAGATCTGCCAAGTGAGGTGAAATGTAAGAATCTGGACCCAAATTTAGGGATTCAAACACTCTCTAAACATTTTCGTCTCAGTAAATTACTTCCTCTTTTAATTTGAGTAGCATTTTTTAAGATCAAAATTATGGCCAATCTCATTTTGGTGAGCAACTAATGCATTTCATGTGATGTTTTGTAAAAGGTCCCCAAAAGATAAACTTTTATTTAAATTCTTTGAGGTTTCTCCTATATATTCCTTGTGAAAATTATTACAGGTCATAGAGTAAATTTCTCCTTCAAGTTTTAGCTATTGTTTTGTTTTGTGTTAATGTGTATAGTCGCATTAACATAAACATCATTTCAGTCCGATGAAGACCTTAAGAACGAAGCACATCACACGGTCAATCTCAACCCAACACCTGAAGATTGCGTTGAAACTCTGAGTCGTGCTACCGGTGAAGAAATATATATATATATATATATATATATATATATATATATATATAAAATGTGTATGTGTTTGTCTGACCACCACAAATATGGAACCCAGGGTCACAAACTCAAATCAATATTATATATATATACACTCCACTACAGTGTTTTAGGTTCTGATTCCCAGTTTTATCAAAGAATTCCTGATATATTTATTAGAATTACTTTTATTTATAATATGATATTATTTCTTATTTAAAGGTTATATTTAGTGGATACACATGTTTGAGTAAACATCTCTATTTTTAAATAGTTGCAATATATGTCTACCGGCCTGTGCATTCGAGTGTCTTAATAAAGATAATGTACCTTCTGGAAGGGTTCGAAACTTCGCCCTCCCTCCTAGGGGAAATCACCGTATAGCATTGTTTGTTCTTAGACCGCTCAACTATAGAAGATTTTCATAGTCAAGCAAATTTCAATTACTCATTTTAAGAAATGCACATCCTTTCTTCAGATCTCTCGAAGATCAGATCTGCTAATTTCTGTTTTCATATACGAAACGTAAAAAACGTAATTTCTAAGGAATTAATGGTTTTTTTTTTTTTTTGCTTTAAACGTTATTGCCACATTTTTCTTTTCTTCTCAAACTGATTACAAGAAAAAATTGAAGTAATCATTTATCATTCATTCAAACTGTATTCTTTCATTTATAAAACTGATTTTTTTTCTCTTTGACTTACGAAAACGTGTAAAATATACTATGTAGCCGTCGAACTGAAAACATCATTGACTTCTATTTATAATCTGGTTTGAAACCTAGGTTTAGTTTGAAAGAGTGGCAACTGTGAGTATTTTCCTGCTTTGATAATTTTATGGATTATGGTTCTCATAAAGAAAAGCTTGTTTCGACCCGAAATGCGACCCGAAAATAAGGCTTTCAGTATTTTTAATTGTATATTATAGCACCTTATTCCAATAAAAATTGTAACATTTTAAATACACAGTTGTTTTATTTTAGGTGGCACATGCCATTTCCCTCCTAACATGAACTTTGTGCTTATTTCAGCGAAGTAAAGCAACCATAGTTGTCTCCCCCTAAAACTACTTGACCATAAAAGAAATGATCGTATCTCACACATCGGCAGTACCTAGTCAAATTGTATTGAATAAAGCTTAACTACAAGATCAAACATTCGTCTGTTTTTCTTTCCAATTTTGATACAAAAAAGTAAAATAAAAAGTGACAATACTGTCGTATATGTAATAAACCGAATTTATTTTTCTTAATTTCTGTTTATTTATATATTTTTCATAATGCGTATAGTGAAAACGTATTTCAGTCAAATATCGTGATGTTTAAATCACGTTACACTCTGTTAGGATATCGTGGGGATAAGCGCTGCCGTAATAACATCTTACGGAAAGAAGACGACTTGCTGCGAGGGTGAGAAGCCACTCCTTCAGAGACTGCAACTGCGCCCGCATTTGATTGTGCAACCCCATGACCTGCATGGGAACTGGCTGCACTCTGAGAAGCGGACATACTTTGAGCTGAAGCTGCAGCATTAGAAGATGCTGAAGCATGGGAAGCGGCTGCAACATGCGAAGAAGCTGCAGCATGGGAAGCGGCTACCGCATTTGAAGAAGCCGATGCGTGTGAAAAAGCCGATCCTTGTGCAGAAGCTGCCGCATTTGCATTCGAAGAAGCTACTCCGTTGCCTTTCGCCAACGCTGATGCCTTGGCTTGCGCAGAGCCCCCTGATCCAGCTACTGCCTTAGCATTTGCACTCGCGCGTGTAACCCTTGGGCATTTGATACTGGAATCACACAGAAGGGTTTTCGGGTTGAATCCGTAACCACCAGGACATAAACGATGTTGAAATTGTCCATAAACACATTCAGCATATTCTCCACACTTTTGGCTACAGACAGCGGATCTCCCTCCGTTCAGGCGACAGCTACCGCAAGCGACGGGGATATTACACATAAAAGAAACTTTGCAAGCTGAAAGAAAATAGGAAAACAAATATAAAATATCTGGCGAATTAAAGCAAATAAAAGATTTATTTTATCATAAATAATTTAATCTATTAATGCCCACTGATCCATTTAAAGACAGTGGTTATTAATTGGTTAAAGATAGAAACCTTTAATTAATACCAGATTTTTATTTTAATTCTTATAATTAATACCAGATGTTACAGAGAACATTATTTAAGTTAAGTAGACGTGTAGTTGCAATAGTATTTATAAGCACTTAAAGCAATTTCTTCCGGCAAGATATGGAATTTAATATAACGCAACTACATATCCCATGTGTCGCTCAACGAATTTGCAAAAAATCTTGATATGGATTTTCTAATCCTAGTTTAGGTGTGGCACAAGGCCGGAAATATGGGGCACCCATTAAGGATCGAAAATATCCTGATATAGATGAATTTTTATTTAAAGTAAAGATATATTTTCATCCATATCCTCTAGATCTTACAGAACGCCTTCATCATTTTGGCGCTGCAAAATTACTTTACTAAATAACAAAAACCACTTCACTTGAAGACTTCCAACAGTAACAACAACTAAAATGGATAGCACATGTAACTAGAATATAAAATAATGTTGATTTTCCACACTCCTTGAAACAAAAGGTTGGGGAGGAAACTCCCATCATTAAAAAAAAGGTTATAACAGCGCATTTGAGAAACTATTTTCCTGAAAAACTGTTTCAAGAAAAATATTTTATAAATTTCAATCGAAATTAACGCTATCTGTTCAGTCAATGAATGCTGAATGTTTCTTGCGTGGAAATGGTTATTTTCACCATTACCACCAAGAAACATCTTTTTTTTTTTTTTTTTTTTTTTTTTGATAAAATTCATAATGTAAAAATAGTAAATAAAAATATAAAATATTCCGCCGGCTGATTATTCAAATTATTCTTTTCGGGTGAATCAAATGAAAAATACAGAATCAGAAAACAAAGCCCTTCTAATTTAATGGAATAAATGCTTATTACATGCCTTTTACGTTCGGGCTAGTATGCTCATCTTGGATGTTATACTAACAACATTTCGACCGTCTTTCTCCAGATGTTTGTCGTTCACTTTAACATCGAAATTTTTAACCGAACCCTTTATTCAGTTCACGTTATACGTTGTTCTCATTACGCTTTCCATGCTTAGGTGAGATAACTTGTATTCGTCAATATTCTCCGGTATGCTTTGCCTCACTTGTCAGTTTCGGCGGAAACAACATCCGAAATGTTGTAATTATAACAACCAAGATGAGGATACTCGTCTGAATGGAAAGGCATATAACAATGATAATTCCCAGTCAAGACTGACAAGATATCAGCGTTTTGCCGACACTGTCTGGGTAAGTAAAATAGTTATTGGACGGTGATTTGTCTATATTGCTCATTCATCTCTCTTTTCTGTCGACCATTGTAACATTCATAGATAAGTTATCTAGACAATGCACGGAGAGAAATGGATTCGTGTCTTTTTAAAAAGCAGTAGTGTGAACTAGATATAAACAACCTCGCCCGAAATTCGAATTCATTTCTCCAATTCCGTTTTCCGTGGTTATAACCTTTAATCCGCACATTTCATTTCCGATGTAATAATTGGCAAAGCACAAATATTAAGTAAAAACTCCACGCAGAAAAATTTAGCCCATCGGCGCTTGCTAAAGGTATACGGTGATCGAACAATGAATGTAAGCACAATGGGCAATACATTTCGGGTGTGGCGGCCACGACAGGCATGGCAAGTCATCTTCAAGGTGGTCATGAACAGCTCCCAATCTACGAAATAAAGAGGGACTCGAAAATGAATGGCCAATGATAATGACTATATGGGAAAATAGTT